TAGTACTCCTCCAACGAATCCGGACTTCGGCTGGCTTCCTCAGGATGGCACCGTTGCTGCTCTTCACGCTCTTCACCACCCTGATGTCTTGAGTAGCCCGATGCCGGGCTTTGGCCAGTCTGAAGACGAACTTCTCTGCGTTTCTGCTTTCCAACTTCTCGTACAAGGCGTCCATCTCCGTGTTCTTTGCCTTGGCGACGGCAGCCTTAGCGAGCCTCTTGCAACTCTTGTAGGTAGCGAGGTCCTCGGGGCTCCGGGTCTTCTGCCAGCGCTTGTATGCTTCCTTCTTCTGCTTCACGACTCGCTGGACCTCCTCGTTCCAGAACCACGCTGCCTTGTCTCCTCTGAATCCACCTCGCGTCTCGCCCAGTACCTCCTTGGCGCATCGTAGGATGATCTCAGCTGCATTGCCCCAAGTCCGCTGCACTGGTCCCTCAGGATCTGGGAGACCAACTTCCATTATCCTTCGCTTGAGGTCGCTCTTCTCTGCTTGGTGCAACTTCCACCACCGGATTCTCCTCTCGGTTCTTACCCTTGTCTTCTTGGGGAGGTCCATGGCTATGTCTGCTAGGAGGGGCCTGTGTTGGGTCCTTGTGTGTGACTCATCTCCATTAGGATTAGTTTTCGTTTCACGATTTTGCAATACCATCAATGCTTCCTAATGCTGCCAGAAGGCATAGTGACTCATATTCCCTCTAGGATGCTTCATTTGTTCTGGTTTGCCAGAATCAATCTACAAGCATATTCATATTTACTGTTTTTGAAGCACAATTCATCGTTGAGCGCGGGGCTGGGTGCAAAGCCTTCGAGTCTGTGTGTGGTGGATGAGAATGCGTTATCACCATGCTCTCCTACCCATCATTCATCATTTCCACTGTTGGGTCTATGTAATACGAGTAATAAGTTCCTCAAAGGTAGATTTCTTTAACCGATGGAAAATTTCTGTAGGTAGATTTATCTTAAATCAGTACTTCTCTTTCGAGCCTCTCACATTAGTCCATTGCACTTCGTGTATCGCATGCTGGACGGTCTGAATTTTCTTTTCATTTTGTCGATGTAATTATATCTTGCACGTTGTGGCTTATTTTGCCATAAGGTAGCGAAATTGATAGCAATTCGAAATGCGTTCTATTAGAACGCAGTCGATTGTTCACTCGATGGTCCCTGTGTTTTTATGGAGGTCGGCATCGATTCGTCGCGCCCCGAGAGGGCAGCAGCTGAGTGCCGTCGTTGTTCTTATTCGGTTTGGTCGACGATGATTTGTAGCTTTTCTCGCTTTGCTGCTGCTGGAGAAGATCATTTTTGCCTTCCTCGAGCCAATTCTATGGACTGTACATTATTGAGATGCGTATAAGATTAGGAATTATGGGGATCGACAATGGAAATATTTATTTTTTCGCGGAGCACCCACCTGCTGTAGATATCTCATTGTTTGTGTATTAGTTTTATCTGTGGAACCCAAGATTAATTAATGATGAGGAATGATAAGTCTTACCAATAATCGCTCCAAAATTCGCCAGGCAAAAGATCTACTAAAGTAACAGGATCCTGTTGGAGATAGGTTGTTTTGTGCTGTTTTTTGCGCAGTCACGCATATGTCATCCATATTTCCTATCACAATTGCCTTAACAATTTAAATTTTCAGCTTTCAGCTCACAGAGAGTACCCTGAGGGCTGGACGCAATCTATTGGCAAACACGTGCTATGCAAATGCTCTGCTACAGCGGTAACTATCGAGGTTGGACGAACATTTTATAGATCCTCACAATAGTTATGAAATTCGAAGGCTTCGAAATAGATAGCTACCCACTTTGAAACTGCGAGAAGGGTTAAGAGTTTTGATAATTGGTTGTTGATCAGTTCTGTTGCATGTCAAGCACCACGGTGAAAGTATATATTTTTGGGAATTGCAGAGGTTCATTGAGTCTGATAAATCTGGGCGCCTTTGAATTTCATGCAGTTAGATTTGCAGAAACAGTAATTGTAGATCAGGGTCGGTGAAGACGTTCAAGAACATTCCTTCATTGCGGGAGCAAGGCGGGGGGGGGGGTGGAAGGTGAGGCGTATCATTTTCGAATTGAAAGACGCATTGTCTTGTCGAAATATGTGAGATAATGGGTTGGAAGTGTTGGTAGTGGGGAAATGAGAAAGTATTGAAAATTGTCATGAGACGAAGGCTTTCACTGAACTTCGACAATATTCTTTACGTCGGCTGACATTAAATCCGTTTTCCCAACTGCACTTTTTTGATCCCAAACACTTATCAATGAGGGACTCAAAGAGTCTGGNNCTATCATGGGTAGAATCCGTGAAATGGACCACGAAATGCACGATACAACAGGTGTACCATCACATCACATTATCCTCGCCATGAGAGGGAAGTAAATAGTACCGTACAACATTGCCAGTTTCTTTTACTGTGTGGTATTTGCATTTCAGTCTACCTTCTATGGTTCGATGGCTGAGTGAGATAGACACAACTATGGACGATCTTCGATATGGGTTTCTGTACGAGTTGAAAGACGTTGTGATGAGTAGGTATTGAACTCTTTAACACCAGTATGAATTATTTCCTTGAAGAAAATGGTGTGAACGTCACAGCATAATATACCTATTAGTCTGGCTGGCGCTCACTGCCGCGTGCATTACTCGATAGGCTTCACTGCAACGGGCTAACTAGTGTGCCATCAATTCCCACGGCTGATGCCGACTTCTCCTCATTTTGTATGTTCTTTTCCCGCGGTGCCCTCCATAAAAATGCCTCAATGGCCGACGAAAAAACATGAGCCACTGACCAAGCTAGCTGAGATCTTGCATCAAACAATGTGTTGATCGTTTATCGACTAAGCTGTAAGGATCCTAGCGCATCTTGTCGTTTTCAACAGTTGTTTTCTTTCATGTCAAGCATTATTTCTTGACATCACTGTCACCGATCGTCAATATCCTCATCCTGTGCTATCCTATATTACTTGTCAGTGTGAAATGACCAGGGTAAACAAACCTTCGCTAGTTGTACTCATTACACATCGTGAAAGACAAGAATACGCGAATCAAAACTTTGCTGCTCGAATCTGTACCGATGTTGCAGAGAACGTTACCTAAAAAGTATTTACCCGTAATTGAGCGTTCTTCTAGTAAGTATTCATGAGCAACAGTTGCGTCATCTCGCCCTTATCAGCACTTATCAATTGTTATTATCTCTGTATTCATTGCCAATGTTTTCGGCCTGACGATTACAAGGCATGTAACCGCATGATCATCCATCAATTGTCTGGTTCCAGCTAAGGTAGCGTTATCTAATTGTATAGCAATTAATATTAGATTAGGAATGTGTTCATTTATTCGGCATCCGGCTTCAATTCTTGAGCTGTTTAGTCATAATGAAGTCGTAGATGCTGTCCCAGTTGTTGTTACCGCGGGATCTCTTAGTTTTATACGCACGCCCGCTGAAAAGGATACCATCCGAGCGGGAGAAGGCTGCTTGAATCTAGCATACTTAATTGCCCTGTAACCCCGGCTTCTCATCACCTTCATTGTCAGCATAGTTATCACTACTTATCATCTACTATTTATGCTTCCGTCTTATGTCACGCAGTGTGTACGAGTGCAAAAGTTCCGTTATCTTTCCAAATGACATGGCGATTTTGGTGACATTTATTTTCCAAGCGCTCAATATCAGCTTTCATCGTTGCTATCACTTCTTATCACCAACCACCAGTGCCTCCGTATTACCTCCTTGAATCATTTGCAAGAACTAATTGCTTCAATTCGCATCATTAATTTCATAATTTTGTTTATTTTAATAATTTGAAATGAACAACCGATCACAGAAGAAAACGCGCACGCATGTAGTACGTTTTGTATCTCGCAGCCAAGTTTGCCATGCAGTCTTGCAGCATAGGCATGATATGAAATAATCAAAAGCTTCAAAAATCACACAAAACATTTATTTTTAAGACCGTCGTCATGTGTGCTACTCTCATTTCAAAGGTTAAGTACTATCTGTGGGGACAGTTACAAACTCAGTGTCATGGGTGACTTTTGAAGCTATTCTTTTCAATGCCAAATGACATAGTATTCGATCTGCATTGCAGATTGAATACTATGTCATCGCATCTGGTCGCGAGATACAAAAGGAACTTGGCGAACTGCATGTTGAATATATTGAGGGAGCTTCTGCTCTTTGGAATTTTTTGGGTGAATGTGGACGGCTAGAATAAATCCATATTTTGCCTATTTCAGAACTCAATGATACCTCGACGATTTTATATGACGTGAGTGGCGTGATGTCTACACTCGCCAAACACAATTGGAATATCACTGTTGGTACGCTTTCTAGTCGCATTTTCATTTTTTTAACTAGGTAGAATAACGGAATAGGGATGAGTAAACTGGTACTTCCATTGCTCGCTTTGGTTTTCGCCTCGTAGGTGCGACACTCATTGGATTTTGGAACTTGTTGATTACAAAACATTCCGCACATCCTGGCAGACCATAGCCTGCAGTGGGATTTTCATCTGAACTTCCATGGGATGCTTAAGCCGTGGTATTCAAAGTTCAATTTGGATACAGAATTCAGGAGTCGAACATGATCTTCACGAATTGCTCAACGTTTTTGCGACGACATGGGAAGAAGAGTTGCAGGAGGTGAAGAAACGGCTGCTTTCTTCGTCATTATGGCAGTTCAACGAGGTACGACATGAATAATCGGGAACTTGGATAACGTGATACCTCTCCTCTCTTTGGACGCTATACTTAAGCCCTCGTGTGACTGGTCGTATTTAGCGGGTAATGGCTGACTAATTCTTTCAGAATTCATAGTCTAGTTTCAGAAATTCTATACACTTCAATTTCCGCTTTTGTTTGCCTTCTACCCTCGCTTCCACCTTGATTGCTTAAACACAATTAAATTCTTGGAAATGGGGCTGCAGGACAATCTCATTTGAATCGTAGTGGCATTTAAATGTGTATTTGCCCACTACAATTGTGGATTGTTCCAGCTTTTGTATTGGGCAAATACACATTCCTACAACGAATGTGGTAGGGTCTCATCTTGCGAATATCCCATTTCCACCCAACTACAATCACGCCTGTTAATGTTGATGTTAGGTTGCAGCTTGGGGGTAAAATACAAGAATTCCATTTCTTACAATTTGTTAGATTCATTTGGAATGCTTAAGCCATAGCAGTCAAAGTTTAAGCCATAGCAGCAATGGATACGGAATTCAGGAGTCAAACATGATGGAATGTTCATTGTAGAAAGACATAGTGGCGAAGGTTAGATTCATTCGATGATTTGTGTTAGGAAGACGTTCTTATAAAGTGGACAGAAGAGATAGGCGCTGGATCAATTAAGAGACCCCTTTGATCACCAATAAAGCAGAAAGGAGTTGTTTTTCCAAAGGTAAATTGAAGCATTTTCAATTCATGTACTGCTTATAATAAGAGAGAAAGAATTCGGGACGTCGCAAACTCATTCGGGAAGGGGAGAAGCAAGCGTTCACTAATGGCCGGTTGTGCGACGTTGTCGCGATGAATCTTAACGTGCGACGGACAATCAGTCACTAATGCAGAAGAGTAAATTCGTGCACGCACACGGAATTTTGGTTTGGCGATATGTTGCCAGCAAAGATTTAATTGATCCACAGTGATTACTTGTTTTGAAATAGTGATTCTGGCGAGAGCGACGGGAAATATCTTCCATACTGAAGATTGAAAAATTCCTTTATGCAGTATCTAAAAACTGCGACAAAAGGTCGATGGATCTGTACTTACGAATAGTTGATTGGAACATAACATAAACATCAACCAAAACAAAAACCCCAAACCAACACAGAAACACCGACGAACAATAAAATCAATCCAAAACACACACACAAAAAAAACAAAAACATCACAGACAGAACAAGAAAACCAAAACCACAGACAAAAAACATTCACACACCAACAAACACCACATAACAGTTACACCCGTTTGAATATTAAAAGATCAAGATGCTCAGCGTTCGTCATCATTCAAAAATGGTAAATGCAACACACACAGAAACTCGTCCACTGCCGTTGCGACGTGGCGGCCATGACCAGTAACGCAAAGATCCGGACCATTCTGTGTTGGCTTAAACCCCTTGTCGGGCACCGCTCACGAGGAGAGCTTTCAGTGTCTGATGAGAAGGATTGAAATTTCTGTGGAGAGCCTGATGTCAGTGAGCTTGATGGCCGGAGGGTCGAAGTGATTTCGATGACGTCATCGTCAATAAACGTATTGGAAACTGTACACAAGCGCCTTACATCCAGAAGAGATAGGGGGTGGGGGAAGGGTAGACACTGTGGTTAGGGACGCCTCTTAACGCTTTTTCACCAGTTGACGTTAATGAGTCATCGAACCGCACGGATCTTTCCAGCCACTTACGCGATCATGCCTTGAGAGGCAATCTACTATGTTGAATTCATAGAAAATCCTGTTGACCTACAATCAGTAACGTTGTTTTTCAGGTGTGCTATGTCGTTCGTGTGGAAGCAAAACTTCGAGCTCCATGCTTTGGTCTTACAGCAACGGAACTGCGTTGTTGTCAAAGCAGTTGTGGGTTCAAGGTCGGTGTCAGTAGGGAAAGGCTTCCGCTGAGGCTTGCTCAGTCCGGACGCACGATGGTTTAAAATTGAGCAAGGGCTCAAGGAAACGTTATAGCAATAGCAGTGGATTTTTGACATATGTTATAATGGTAGTCAGTTGTCGCTTGGACTGTTCTGTGGGGAGAGGAATGGGGCACTAGGTGATTATGTGCGAATAAAAGTGGCGAAAGTTTCAAGAAATTTAGTTTAATTATTACCGTGCGTGTGTGTCCAGAGAAGCGCTTCATATAGTTAGGGCATATTTTGCCTTCCTCTGCCTACTGTGCCCCGCCCGTTCCCAGATATAGGTTGGGACGTGATTTTCAAAGGTAGAAAACGTGCGCAGTCAGAGCTTGTTCGAGGTGTCCTACCATCCTATGGTCTTTGGAGGCGAACTTTTAAAGAGAATTTTGTTTCATTAAATGTTGTTGGTATGTATATTCACTATTCACTATTCATATTCACTAATTCACCGTAGACTCAATTATTGTTCCGTTTGCAATATTTCAAGTGAAGCGGAGGAAGTATAGGTTTGGGTAGGAAAACGATTAGGTGATATAATCCAGGACACCCTCTGCATAAGAATCGTGGCCAGGGAATGTAGGCGGCGTGAACCAAATGCTTCGCCTTCCTCCTCTCTAATGATCTAAACCTGCTTTTATCTTGCAGATAGGTCGAGATCTGCTAGTTAAACAGGTATACAATAGTGCTTTTCAGAAGCTACGCTATGACACATTCGGAGTGATTTCCCTGACGATTCCAAAGATGTTCATGGGTTTGGTAAGTTTCTTGAAGCACTACTAGATAGATCATATACACGTGCTCTTTTTTTCCAGTCGGTCACGATTGAGGCGCTTTTGAGGAAGTACTTTTGTATGGAGGTGATTCGAGGAGCTACTTGTGATCGGTGTAAGTCCCGTACCGGCAAACGTGACAGTGGACTGTTCAAGAAGCAAGGCTTCAGTAAGGTAGGTGATATACAATACACATCTTTTTGTTTATAATCTTCATTCGACTAGCATCGTATAGAACTGTATTTACACACAATATTCGTATTTGCAAGACACCAACGGATTAGCGACGGCGGCAACATTGGTTGCTGTTGGCGCACGGAGAGTAACCGGTTTGGCATTGGCAACCGGAGTTGCTCGTGGATGGCTGACAGGCGACGGCGGCAGGCTGTTGAGCAACAACAGCTGGAGGGCACGAGTTACTGCAGCTCTGCTGGCAGGCTGGCTGGCAAGACGCCATTGGCTGATTTTGCTGAGTGCACTGAGACACGCAGCTGGACTCACACTGAGGCTGGCATTGAGCGGTCTGAGCGATGCTCGACTGGAGCACGACCTGTACGACTTGAGAGCTCTGCGAATTGCAGGCGGATTGGCACTGCTGGCACTGCACTGGTGATTGGCTGGGGGCGCACTGAGACTGGCATTGTTGTCCGCAGGACGGCTGTTGCTGTTGGATCGGTTGCTGAGCGGCAACACAGGAGTTGTCGCATGTTGGCATGCAAGCCGGAGTGCATTGAGGTTGTGCTTGTGCCTGAACCATTGGCTGAGCAGCACCACAGCTCTGCGAGCATTGCGAGCTGCAGGAGTCGAAGCATTGAGCGACTGGTTGTTGCTGAGCGACACACGACGATTGGCATTGGCTCTGGCACTGTGGCATACAGGCTGCCGGAGCGGCAGGCGCTGGCTGGTACTGCTGCTGCTGCTGGACACCGCAGGTGTTCGAGCACTGCGATTGGCATTGGTCGGCACACTGAGCGGCTGGCTGCTGCTGAGCGACGCACGACGTCTGGCATTCGTTCTGACACTGCGGCATGCAGGCAACGGGAGCGGCGGTGGCAGGCTGGTACTGCTGAGTGCAGGATGGCTGACAAGCTGGCTGACAGGCTGGTGCGCACTGGTTGCTAACAGTGGATGGCTGATAACTGTTACAAGCGTCCGAGCATTGCGACTGGCATTGGTTCGAGCACTGAGCGGCCGGCATCTGTTGGGCAGTGCAGGAGTCTTGGCACTGTTGTTGGCATGCAGGTTGGCATTGTGGGCTCTGTTGGGCAACTGGAACAGTGATCTGGAACTGAATGGTCTGCTGCATCTGAGGCTGCTGGTTGTCACAGGCGACGTTGCATTGCTGCTGGCACTGATTGTTGCATTGAGCTACAGGTTGTTGCTGAGCTACACACGATTGCTGGCATTGTTGTTGACAGGCTGGCTGACATTGGCTGACTGCCGGAGCTGGTGCGGGGTTGTAAGCCGGAGAGCATGAGGCTTGGCAGGAGCTCTGGCAGTTCTGTTGGCAGTTGTTCGAGGTGGAAGTGGAGCACTGCTGAGCACAACTCTGCTGACAGGCAGGCTGGCATTGAGTGGTGGGGTACTGAAGAGTCTGGGTCTGCTGAGCACACGAACATTGTTGAGCGGGTTGGGGCTGAGTGTACTGCGGTTGGTTCTGGCAGGAGCACGACATCTGTTGACTTGTTGATGGAGAGCATGAGCATTGAGCCTGAGTCTGAGCTGGAGCACATCCACATTGACGCTTCTCACGAAGCACGCTTCCCTGAAAGGACAGTGGTTTTCAGTCATAATTCGAACGAACGGCTTCAATATTTTAAGCTGAGATCGATCACTTTA